TTTGGCTTCTTTATTGCTTTAATCTCAAAGCACAGTGCACTGTCCCACTAGAGTACAGGACAGTACAATGCTGACCAGATCACATATCGTCTGCCCTTATCTCTGATAATTGTAGGAGGCATGCTAATATTCCTCCCAGGTGAGTTGTTCTCTTGGCGGTGGCTGTGATAACACAATCCTCTGAGGCAGTGACTACACCTGTCTAACCCCACAGGGGTTCTCTCAGGGCACAGGGATTGTCCATACTTCTGTCCACAGGCCAAACACAGTCTGCCCGCTATGCTGGCACAGCCTACCCTGTCCTGAAACCTGACCTCAGATTAATCATCACCGCCATCATCTTCATCCTCAGTTTAATTTATGTAGCTGCTCTATAGTGTAAGGTCCGCTTCATACATATACATGCAAGAAGCTGCGATACTGGCTTGTGTGATTCTGATATAGCAGAATGCAGCAGTAGGACTTGGGAATATGACGTCATGACGCAGTGTTGTGGGTGGTGTGTCATTTTGGCAGGCTTAAGATCACCGAACACACTGCAAAAACTGATATCTTAACAAGTGAATTTATCTCAGATGTAATCAACTTATATAATATTTCTCACTATGAGATTGTTATAAGAATATAATAAGATTATGTGACTTATTTCTAGACTTTTTTACTTGTTTTTAGTAATTTTATCCAGATAAAGTGTCTTATTCCATTGGCAGATCATTTTACATGTTTGAGAAATAATGAAGGTAATTTTGCTTATTTCAAGAAATAATGCTTTAAACAAGTAAAATGATCTACCAGTGGAATAAAACACTTTTATAAGACACAATTACCTAAAACAAGTGAAAAGTGTCTAGAAATAAGTTGCATAATCTTAGAATATTCTTATAAAAGTCTCATAATGAGAAATATTAGATATATTAACTACAATTAAGATGTGTTCACTTGCCAAGAAGTCACTTCTTTGGTCCTCGGATTCTTTAAACTTTGCCTTCAGGCTTTAAACTGTTCTGTGACGCTGCAGCCTCGTTCTCCTACGGCCGCGTTCGGACACTTCTTTCAAAATCTCTTAGAACATGGAGGGTTTTGGATGAGTCTCTTCTAATGTTTATACAGAAACATCAGCCTAAATGTTTACGAGGTCTCAGCAGTGCGAAATTATGCCAAATGTGGAGCTGGATTGATGGAAAAGTCGCATGAATTCCGATCTGGCTGTTCAGACTGGGCCGCATTGCCGCAGATCGAATATGTATCAGATTTCAGTACCACATATGAAAGCGTCTCAAATCAGAATTGAAAATATCTGATTCAGTGTGTTTATCTGTTCACGCTGACACACAAACACTTGTCGGTGCCACATATGAGGGAAAAGATCAGATTTGGGCCACTTTTACCTGCTGTATGAATGTAGGCTAAAAGGCTATAGTGAAATATTACCTATAACTGAGTTAAATATGCCGGTGGCTGAGTGAAATATCCATATGGGCTTTGAGTGACTCTTGTAAATTACTCAAAAGAATAATCACATAAGCCACACTAGGAAAAAAGATGGGTAATGAAAGAGGAGGTAGTATATCCAGATCATTACTCCACTTTTGGGGAGTTTATATGGATCCACACCATTAGTGGGGCTAATTGTATCCATATAGCATTATTAGGCATCCCTGTGCAGTTGGTTAAAATACATATCCTTTGAATTTGATTCACTATTAAGCATGAAAAGTCTGAAAAAGCACAATAAAGCAGCTAAGAATTGACAATATACTGCAAGTTGTACTGCAGTTGCAATACAATCGTAACATTAGTATTTCATCTGTATCATGCAACCCGAATACAAAGTCATCAAAATGTTCAAAACAACACTATTCAGATTACACAAGACACAGTGGCCCAGTTGGAGGGATTAGATAACAGACCTGCTGAATGCGGCCTTGGCTCTTGTGGAAAGGGGGATTTTTTTCTTTGCTTTTAGTCCTTTTTGATGTGGAGAGAGAGATTGTAATACTAACCAAGATCATGGCTCACTCAGCAGAAGAGATGAGAAGAGAAAAGGGGAAAAAAACAAACAGAGAGAGGTTAAACCTTTGAGACAGAAAGACAAAATGAAGAGATTGGAGCCTGTTTTGAAGGTCTTTTGTGTTGGAGCAGATCTCTGATCGATAAGGCCCCGAACAATGCAGAGACACAATGGCATAAGCACAAAGGCAGAGGAAAGCTGTCGCTGCGCTGAGAAGCTCCCTGACATCACGGAAATTTCAGAGGGGGAAAAGTGTACATTGCACTAGCACAGTGCTTAAAAGTGAGGGGAGTGTTTTAGTTATTATGGATGAACAGATGATGAAAGTTTAACATGTCAGAATTCAACATGTGCGAGTTTGAACAGGCTTTCTCAGGTGAATCGGGTGCTCGCAGGGTGAGACGTTGCTGAAGCAGCTCTGAAAAGCAAAGCGAAAAAGGCAAGTGTGTTAGTCATTAGAGATAAACAGGTGATGAAAGATTAACATGTCAGGACTTTGCAGGTTCTCACAGGATTTTAGGTGCATTAGGTGCACAGAGTCTGTGTGAGTGACAGTGAGACAGATAGTTAGGGAGAGCGTTTTTTCCCTTGCCTAATGGGCATGACTCAAATCAGAATATGAGTCAGTTATGGCTGTTTTAGGGCATCTTCAGTGGCAGCCTTAGCGTGGATAATTATATGTCAATCTGTGTGTCTGTATGCCTTTTAATCAGCAACACCTGTGGAGGAAGTGTGGAAGTAGGGGTGAAAAGTTTGTACTTACTTTTAAGTAAGTAACTCTAAAAGACGCTAGCAAAAGCTAGTCAATGCTTGCTACAGTTAGCTTAACATACACGGCTCCACTCTTGGCTAAATGCTACTGCCCTGTTAGCTTAAAAGTGCTTAGCTGAAGCCTTTTAACTACAACTAATAAACTGTGACACTGCTAGCTAAAACCACTACACTGTAGGTAAAAACTACTACGTCTAAGCTGGTTTATGCTGGTTTATGCTGGTCTGGTGCTGATTTAGCTGACCAGCTAGTCTACGCTGGATTTTCTAGGAGGGTTGTTATTAAAAACTGCTACACTGAAATAAAAGCTACTATACTGTAAGTTACAAACTGTTACACTGTTGTTAAAGATTACGGCACTGTAGTTAAAGACTGCTACACTGTAGTTAAAGACTGCTACATTGTAGTTAAAGACTGCCACACTAGTTAAAGACTGCTATACTGTAGTTAAAGACTACTACACTATAGTTAAAGACTGCTACACTGTTGTTAAAGATTACTACACTGTAGTTCAACACTGCTACACTGCAGTTAAAGATTAATGCACTGCAGTTGAAGACTGCTACACTGTAGTTAAAGACTGCTACATTGTAGTTAAAGACTGCCACACTAGTTAAAGACTGCTATACTATAGTTAAAGACTGCTACACTGTAGTTAAAGACTGCTACACTGTAGTTAAAGACTGCTACATTGTAGTTAAAGACTGCCACACTAGTTAAAGACTGCTATACTATAGTTAAAGACTGCTACACTGTAGTTAAAGACTGCTACACTGTAGTTAAAGACTGCTACATTGTAGTTAATGACTGCTACATTGTAGTTAAAGACTGTCACACTAGTTAAAGACTGCTACACTATAGTTAAAGACTGCTACACTGTTGTTAGATTACTACACTGTAGTTAAAGACTGCTACATTGTAGTTGAAGACTCCTTCACTGTAGTTAATTACTGCCACACTGTAGTTAAATACTGCCACACTGTAGTTAAAGACTGCTATACTGTAGTTAAAGACTACTACACTATAGTTAAAGACTGATACACTGTAGTTAAAGACTGCTATACTATAGTTAAAGACTGCTACACTGTAGTTAAAGACTGTTACACTAGTTAAAGACTGCTATACTATAGTTAAAGACTGCTACACTGTAGTTAAAGACTGCTACACTGTAGTTAAAGACTGCTACATTGTAGTTAAAGACTGCTATACTATAGTTAAAGACTGCTACACTGTAGTTAAAGACTGCTACACTAGTTAAAGACTGCTATACTATAGTTAAAGACTGCTACACTGTAGTTAAAGACTGCTACACTGTAGTTAAAGACTGCTACATTGTAGTTAATGACTGCTACATTGTAGTTAAAGACTGCCACACTAGTTAAAGACTGCTACACTAGTTAAAGACTGCTACACTGTTGTTAGATTACTACACTGTAGTTAAAGACTGCTACACTATAGTTAAAGACTGATACACTGTAGTTTAAGACTGTTACGCTGAAGTTAAAAACTGCCACACTAGTTAAAGACTGCTTCACTATAGTTAAAGACTGCTTCACTGTAGTTTAAGACTGCTACGCTGAAGTTAAATACTGCCACACTAGTTAAAGACTGCTTCACTATAGTTAAAGACTGCTTCACTGTAGTTTAAGACTGCTACGCTGAAGTTAAATACTGCCACACTAGTTAAGGACTGCTATGCTGTAGTTAAAGACTGCTACACTATAGTTAAAGACTACTACACTGTAGTTCACACTACTAGTGGAAAACTACTACACTGTAGTTAAAGACTCCTACACATTAGTTAAATACCACTGCACTGTAGTTAAAACTACCACACTGTAATCCAAACTGCTTCACTGTAGTTAAGAAAAATAAAGATCTTTCTACAACTCTCTACAACTCTACAAGCAAACTTCACCCCTCGAACTTACACTGGAAGTCAATTTTTTGTTTGAATAAAAAGTAGAAAGAGTCAAAGCACGTATTTGCAGGTGCTCCACTTGCTCAATTGTTCAGGCGCCTACGTGTGCCAGATGTTCTGGAGAAAAACTTGAAAACTGGCTCTATGAGGGCAGGGTAACATTTTGCTGAACTATCAGATCCTGGTACATCAGACCCCGTACAGCTGTCTAACAAGCTGCCCTAACTCCATCTCCGCCCATGCAATCAGTGCCTCAGTCCCAGATTTAGTAACGGCGTCTGTCTCTGGCTTTTTTAGATTCGTGTGGACGGGACGGCCCATGGCGCTTTGCAGTACGAGACGGTGCAGGTGGTGGAGAACGGGCCGATCCTGCGGGACATGGCCTTCTCGGCCGATCAGCACTTCCTGTACGTGATGTCGGAGACCCAGGTGAGTCATTTGGCCTTTTCTCTCTTTGCAGTTAGCATCCACACACACACACGGCAGACCTGTGAACGCCGCAGGATAAAATTATGCTCGTTCAGAATATACCTATCATTCTCTCGCACACCCTCGCACGCTCTCTCTCTCCCTCTCTCTCTTAACCGCACACCTGCCAGAAAATTCTGACAATAGGTGGGATCACTTACGGTAATTAGGCTACTACTGCAGAGGGGGGGGGGTGCTGCAGAGAGAGAGAATGAAAAGTGAACGAGCGAGGGAGAGAGAGTGTTTAAACACAGTAATGTAAATTAGACAGAGCAAGAGAGAGGCTGGAGTGGTGCATTAGACTTTACGAACTCTCTCTTTGGTGCAGGCTCACATAAGTGTGCACAGAAACGCACAAGCGCAATTTACTCGCAGCGCCGTGTTGACTGAAAATGCTCCAAATGCCGCAGTGTGTGTAATGGATGGAGTAGATTGGACACTGCAGTGGTTTCTCCGGCACCGCTAAAGCCTGTGAGCCATTACGACCCATAAAACACTGCATTCACTGCACAGAATAAAAGGCACTTTCTCACGAGTGCACGCGTACTCACTACTTACGCTCACTCTGAAAGAAACCGAGCAAATTACTATAAATAGGTAATGCAGATGTGTCCAGACAGGGGGTTAAAACTCCACTTGGGGTCACTTTGTTTCAAAAAAAGAGTCAAAACGGCACTGATGTGATGCGAAACCAGCTGCCTGGCGCTTCCAGAATGAACTAAAAGTTTGAGAAAGTTCTTGTGGAAGGGTTTGTTTACGAATGCAAAGAGGTTGGAAAGTGAGAGGTGGCTGGTTTGGAGGTGGCTGTTTTGCGAAGATACGGGCTGCGTGATTTTCTTGGCTACGGTTGATGGTGTGGGCTGGAAGAAGAGAAGAAAAAACAGCAAGAACTCCTGACTTAGCACTTAATATAACAATGCAAACAAGGATCTATGAATAGGTTCGTTTGGAGCAGAGCAGCTCATCAGCTACAGAAACTCCCACGCAGCGTGAAGCAGCCAGCGAAGATGTTCAGCGATGCGCTCTCTGAACCGAACCTTTCACTAATGACCTCTGATCTTTGTGCAGGCTTAAGCATACTTGCAAATGCATTTTTTTTAGCTGAACTGGCCTCTAGGTCTTTTGCCGAACGATGGCTGTGGTGAGTCTGAATGCATTCATCTTGCCAGCAACGAGGACAAGGTCTTCCGACACTCTCAATCGCACAAACAGATACACACATACACACCCAGAAAGGCAGCCGGAGCACTTGAAGGGTCTCAACAAGCTCGTGTCGAATATCACAAGCAAGCGGAGCTCAAAAAGAGCTCTTCAGCTCCGTCTTTTCAAATGAAACCAACCTCAGGTAATGTCAAGAAGAAAGGTGCCGGGCTTCAATACGTTCTCAGCTAGGCCGGCGGGGCTTTTGTCTGGCAGGAGAGAAACTGCTCTGGGAAATTGGGCACTTATGAGTGCCAAACTCACACCTTCACTGGCCAGAAGAATGTATTCTCCTTCATGTTTTGGCAGAGCGTGAGAATCACTGTTAAAGGAAAACTATAGCAGAATGGGAGGAACCCAGAACCTTGAATCAACCCTACCTTGTGCCTCCACATAGTCGACACTTTATAAAGTTCACCTACCTTATAGGTCCACTATATAGATGTACAGTAGATCTGCTCTCATGCACAATTCATCGGCCGCCCTTTACCCCAGTTACCATTGGTCAGTTACTTTTTTTCCCAATTTTCTCCCCAATTTAGTCATGTCCAGTTCCACCGACTAGCCAGGTCTCACCCATCACACAAAGCAACCAAGCTGGGAGGGTGAATTCTATCATGTGTTTGGGGAAGAACGTTAAAGCCATCAGTATCCAGTATACAAATCACGAAAGAATACTTAAAAAGAATAGTCACAGTCAGGGGGTGGTCTTAGAACAACCAACATGGTGATTAGGACCAATCACAGTCAAGGGGCGGTCTTAGAATGAACAACATGGTGATTAGGACGAATCACAGTCAGGGGGAGGTCTCAGAACGAACAACATGGTGTTTAGGACCAATCACAGTCAGGGGGAGGAACAAAAAAAAGACATGGTGAATTGGAACAAACACAATCAGGGGGAGGTCTCAAAATGAACAACGTGGTGATTAGGACCAATCACAGTCAAAGGGGGAGGTCTTAGAACAAAAAACATGGCGATTAGGACCAATCACAGTCAGGGGCGGTTCTCCGAATTAATGACATGGTGATTAGAACCAATCACAGTTGAAGGAGAGGTCTTATAATGAAAAACATGGTGATTAGGATCAGTCACAATCAGGGGGACGTCTCAGAATGAACAACATGGTGATTAGGACCAGTCGCAGTTGAAGGGGGTGGTCTTGACAGCCATACACTGCCGGCTTAACTGCCGGTTCCTCTTACGACAACTAACGGCACTGCTGTTAACCAGTATTTGAGTGGTCCATCAGTGGACGGAAACTGACCACTCGTGAAGGGCTAACACATATTGTGTATAGCAACAGATGAGCTGCAGTATCTAACTGTACACCAGCGAAGTGGAGCTACAAGGCTGGGGTTTCCAATAAAGTGGCCAGTAAGTGTAAAGAACAATGCCAAACAGTTTTAGCAAAACTGTATCAAGTATTAAAACTGGGCCACGGTCACCCCCACCTGCGCCTGCTGATAGAGGAACAACGGAACACTTTGCTGGATAAACATGAGGCTGCGGCTATTAATTTCATAGTAAATGATCTCATCCAGCCGCAATTAGCCTATTAGCCCAGTTAGAGAGCTCTGTCATCTGCTTTCTGTTTGGTACAAACATCTTGGGATGTCCTCTACAGGGGAATCATAAATAAATTTAGAAGCTATTTAGTGAACACGCATTACGGCCCTCCCCCACTACCACCCCCTCCGCCGCGCGCACATGCAAACGCAAACAGAGGCCACTTGAAATCCTTAAATGTTTTATTCAGTTCTGCAAGGAGACGCGATTAATTAGGAGAAGCTGAACTCTATGAAAAGTCTAATGAACGTAGAGTTCATTAGTAAGTAGGCAACGTCCACTATCGATCAAAGTCTAAAGAAAATACTCTGTTATTCAAACCGCCGCGCTCTCTGTGAAGCAGCGCTTCAGACGCTGTTTGGTCTTTGCCTTGAGAATTTAGAGCCGGAGTCGAGATGTAAATGCGCACCCGCTCGCTCAGCTGACATCCCTGCTCAGTCTGGCTCTCACAGATTCACTGAGCGCTCACTGAAAGATTTATTTAGGCTTCTTTTAAAAGGTTAATTGCCTGTGATGCAACACACTTCAACTCTTCCATGACTGCTCAAGCTTTTCATAACTGCACGGCAAAGATATCAGACTCAGACTGTACACAAATAGGCAGGGCCTAATGTATGATATGTATTATAACATATCGCTGCTGTGTGAAGAAAACCTCGTATCTCCAAAATGGTAACTTTACAGGAGAAGGAAAAAACATACTCTACTTTTAATGTAAGTCAATGGAACCAGACATCTTTCCAAGTCATTTTGGGCCGTTTGTTTTGGTCCATTCATCATGAAATTTACACACAATGTAAAGGACAACAGGCGGTTTTAAATTAGGTAAAAAACTGAAAAACGACAAAAATGGAGATGCATGGTTTTGTTCCCCACAGCAATGAAATACTTATTCAGGCAGGTGCCGTTTGCTAACGTTACGTTCACCAGTTTTTAATTTAATGTCTCTCTGTTTCCCTCTTTCTTTCTCTCATTACACCTCTCTTTTTGCTCTTTTTCCTCTCTCACTTTCTGTCTCTAACTCTCTCCCTCCCTCCCTCCTTTTGGATCTCTGTTTCTCCCTACCTCCCTCTCATTTTGTCTCACTCTCCTTCTTTCTCTTCACTTCTCTCCCTCTCTCTTTCTCTCTCTGATTCTCTATTTCTGTCTTTTTGTGTGTCGCTTCATTTATATATATATATATATAAATATATATATTGGGTTTTGTCCCGACAGCAGTGATACAGTTAAGACTTTTCACGTCATTGCTCAGACTTTAATGCGCTCTCTTGTGAAATACTGCAGATTATCTTGCGTCTTTACTCCTTTCTTCTTTAATCTCTGCCTGTCTCTCTCTTCTCCTCTGTTTACACAGTTTTGTAGTCATCTTCTCTGCATCCTCTCTGTGGGAAAACTTTCTAGAGAAGCAGGAACGCTGGCTCAGTGCCCCCCTGCTGCTCAGACCTCTATACTGGAGAAATGCAGAACAAAGAGAAGAAAGTAGAAGAGGAGAGAGAGAAGGAGAAGAGGGGATAGATAAGGGGGGCGCTGAATGAGGGATGGAGTATTATAGTGATAGAGGGATGAAATCATGGAGGGATAGAGGGATGGCGTGAATGAGTGATGGATTGTTGAAGGCGTGCAGAGAAAGATGAAGGGACGGAGAGATGGAGTGAAGAAGGAATGGAGAATGAAGTGATGTAGGGATCAAGTGATGGAGTAATGGAGAGATAGAGATGACAATAAAGGATGGAGAATGGAAGGATGAGAGATAGAGTGATGGAGTAATGGAGTGGCAGAGATTAAATGAATGGGATGAAAGTGAAGATGAGATGAAATGATGAAAGGGATGAAATGATGGAAGACAGATGATGGAGTGATGGTGTGATGGAAGGATAGAGGAATAGTGGGATGGAAGGAAGGAGTGATGGAAGATGAAGAGATGCATTTTAGGGATGAGGGATGAAGTGAAAGGAGATTGAGAAGGATGGATGATGGAGTGATGTGAGATGGAAAGTACGAGGGATGGGGTGATGAAGGGATTGTTGATGATGGGATGGATAGATGTAGTGCTAAAGTGATGAAGGAGTAGGAATGGAGTGATGGTTGAGGGATGGAATGATGAAGTGATGGAGGAATGGATGGATGGAGATGGAGTGATGAAGGATGGAGGAGAGGAGTGATGAAGGGATGAAGAATGGACAGATAGAGA